TTAACCAAACAACTCAAGGTTATGTAAAATTTGGAGATGGGTCCAAGGTGCGTATAGAAGGGAAAGGTTCTATTATTTTCCAGTGCAAGAATGGAGAGCAATGAAAGCTGCAAGATGTGTACTATATCCCAAGCTTGTGTAATAATATCATAAGTTTGGGTCAACTAGCAGAGAATGGTGACAGGATCTTGATACATGGATCGTTCTGTGGGTTCATGATGTAAAAGGGAGACTACTCATGAAGGTAAAACAATGTCCAAATCGTCTTTATAAAATCATTTTGAATGAAGTTCGGTCTAGATGTCTGCTTGGAGAGACTTGTGAACAAACTTGGCTTTGGCATGCACGAATGGGTCATGTTAACTTTACTGCCCTCAAACAAATGTCAGACAAGAACTTAGTTTGTGGACTACCAAAGATAGATAACCCTACACGCTTGTGTGAGGGATGTCTAGTGGGAAAGCAGACACGAAAATCATACCCATCACAAGCAAGCTTCAAGGCAAAACAGAGGCTTGAGCTAGTACACGGAGACCTTTGTGGTCCTATTTCACCACCCACACCTGCTGGTAACCGCTATTTTATGTTGTTAGTTGATGATTTTACTCGAGTAATGTGGGTATATATGATGAAGACTAAAGATGAAGCCTTCAGTGTTTTCAAGAAGTTCCGGATATCTGTTGAAACAGAAACAGGTGAGAAGTTAAAGACCTTCCAAACAGATCGTGGTGGTGAATTTCTGTCAAAACAATTCACCGCGTATTGTGAAGAAACGGGTCTAAACTGACACTATACGGCACCATATTCTCCACAGCAAAACGGAGTGGTGGAGAGACGAAATCGCACTGTTGTAGAGATGGCAAGAAGTATACTCAAGAGCATGCATGTACCAGAAACGTTATGGGGAGAGGCTGTACATCATGTTGTTTATGTTCTTAATCGGGTGACCACAAAAGCCTTAAAAGATGCAACACCTTATGAGATGTGACTGGAAGAAAGCCACAAGTAGATCACTTAATAGTGTTTGGATGTATTGCTCATGCAAGAGCAACAGGAAGTCATCTTAAGAAACTTGATGATCGAAGCAAACGTTTGGTACACCTAGGATGCGAGACAGGAACAAAAGCATATAGATTGTTTGATCCAGACACAGGGAAAATATGCATCAGTAGGGATGTATGTTTTGAAGAAGATAAACCTTGGTCATGGGAAAAGTCAACTTTGTTAAAAAGTACCCCAGGAGCAACTTTTACAATTGAAGGCTACTCTCCAGAAGACAACTATGAAGATGTGAGCAACCAGGAACATGAAATCCGGATGCAAAGTCCTGCACCATAACAAACCCAACAGACAAGTGCACAAACCCCTACACTTACACCCTCAAGTTCGATCAGTTCAGATATTTATGATGAGTGTGACGAACTTCTATTCATGCATGATAGTGAGGAGCCTTTGTCATACTCCATGGCTAGTGAAAATGTTGATTGGGTAAATGCAATGAGAAGTGAACTGGAAGCCATTGAAAAAAATAAAACTTGGAATCTGGTTGAACTCCCACCAGGTCGAAAACCCATTGGTCTCAAGTGGGTTTACAAACTGAAAAAGGATCCAGAAGGAAAAGTTTTGAAGCACAAGGCGAGGTTGGTAGCAAAGGGATATGTTCAGAAACCCTGGATAGATTTTGATGAAGTCTTCGCACCAGTTGCACGACTTGAAACAGTACGCATTTTGCTTGCCCTTGCAGGTAAAAATGGATGGATTGTTCACCACCTTGATGTAAAATCTACATTTCTAAACGAAGATTTGGAAGAAGAAGTTTATGTAACTCAACCGGAGGGGTTTGTGAATCAAAATGAACCAAGAAAAGTATACAAACTATCAAAAGCTTTGTATGGGCTTCGTCAAGCTCCTAGAGCTTGGAACTCTTGTCTGGACAAATGTCTGAAAATTTTGGGATTTACAAGATGCCCACAAGAGTATGCAGTTTACACAAGAAAGAGGAATGGTAAGCTCTTAATAGTTGGGGTGTATGTTGATGATCTGATTGTTACAGGAAATTGTAGCAATGAAGTGAAGCTCTTCAAAGAACAAATGCAACAGGAGTTTGAAATGAGTGACCTTGGCTCATTGTCATACTACCTGGGTATTGAAGTGGGTCAACAAAAGGATGGTATTACTCTAAAGCAAACAGCTTATGCGAAAAATATCCTGGAGAAGGCAGGCATGGCTGAGTGCAACTCATGTAAATACCCAATGGAACCCAAGTTAGAGCTAACGAAAGATGAAGAGGGAGACCCGGTAAATCCCACGGAGTATAGAAGCATCATTGGAGGTCTGAGATATCTCACACACACGACCTGACATTACTTATGCTGTCGGGATTGTAAGTCGATTCATAGAGAGACCCACAGTCAAGCATCTACAAGCAGTGAAACATATTCTGAGGAATATCAAAGGAACCATTGATTATGGCTTAAAGTACACCAGGGGGGATGGAGAAGACATTGTAACCGGGTATACTGATAGTGATCTTGCAAGGGACGTAAATGACAGACGCAGCACATCAGGAATGACATTTTATGTTAATGAAAATTTGGTTACTTGGGCGTCGCAAAAACAGAGGAGTGTAGCTCTTTCTTCATGCGAAGCAGAATTCATGGCGGCAACAAGTGCAACGTGCCAAGGGATATGGATGCGTCGGTTGCTTAGTGAGTTAACAGGAAAGAAAGTTAGTCCTGTGGTGTTGCATGTTGACAACAAATAAGCCATAGATTTGATAAAGAACCCAGTGTTTCATGGGAGAAGCAAACACATAGACACAAGGTTTCATTTCATACGTGAATGTTTTGAGAATGGGGACATAAAAGTCATGCATGTGAGCAGCAAGTAACAGAAGGCAGATATTCTCACAAAATCCATGGCAAGCAAGAAGTTTGAAGAAATGCGCAACTTACTGGGAGTGAAGCAGATAAAAATTATGGATTAAGGGGGAGAATATTATAATAATCCATAATATTTATTATATAAGAAAAGAAGAATTGAAGCAAGTTGCAAGCACGTGTGCTCCCTTGGGCTGTCAAATTTTCCATCATTCCTACTCTACTTTGAGTGTTTGACTCTTTTCTTTTAATGAAGGTTGTTGCCATCTTAATGTTTTGTTTAAAGTTGTAGTTGAAAAAGTCAGAAGTAGTTGTCTAGCTTTAATGTATGTTCCTTTTGTATTAAGCAAGTTTAAAAGGAAAAGGAGACAGTAGAGAAGTCTCGTTGGTTGTTGGTATTGTTTTTTGTTCTATTTTCACTTCCTGCACATACACACGAAACCAGGGAAGTTTCTTATCCTTTCATTTTTCTGCTTAAAAATGTGATTAAAGAAGGCAGTAAACCAACATTTTCCCCTTACGATCGTGTTTTCGATCGTGTACCATCTTCATAGCTTTTGAAGTCGAAAAAAAAAAGATAATAAAAAAACACGATCATATTTGAAAAAACACGATCGTGCTTTTCGTTTTTGCTGGTATAAACTCCAAAGTCCAAAAACTACCATTCTCTCTCTCTCTCTCTCTCTCTCTCTCTCTCTCTCTCTCTCTCTCTCTCTCTCGAACTCGAACTCGAACTCGAACTCGAAAAAGGACTCTCTAAGCTTTGGTCGGATTTAAGCGCAAAAGGTACAATTTATCTTCTTTTAACTTCCTCTATCTATCAAGGCTACTTTAACTCCATTCTTTTGGTGGTATCATCTTCCCCAACACAAAAGCTAGTGTCAAAAATTTTGAACTTGTTTTTCAGATCTACTACTCGTTTGTGCAAATGAAGGTTAGAGATTTTGAAGGTTGGTGTATACGGTATAAGGAGCAGATTAGTCAAAGTAGAAATTTCAAAAAGTCAAATTTTCAGTTTGCGAAAAAAGCACTGATGTTAAGTGTGCTGTAAGGTATATTTGTTCCTGAACTAAAAAGGTTATTTTTCTGTCAGGTATATTGAGTTTGGTGATGCAACCATCAATAGAATTAATAAAGCGACACTGTTGTTAATTGTCTGTAACGTTAAGTTTTTGATGTCAATAACGCCAAACATTTAAAAAAGTAACCCAGTATGGAGAGTTTTACGTTCATACTCTTATCCCAACTAGCAACCTTTTTTACTTTTTTACGAGAAAAAAAAAATTCACCTTGTGATTTCTTCTTTTTTCTAATTTTAACAAAAAAAATGCAAAAAATATAACAAAATACAAAAAAGATTGCATCAAAGGAGCGAATTTAATAATTTTTGTCTCATAACAGAAGTTGGTTTTAATAAAAAGTACAAAAAAAGGTGTTATTGATTTTTGACAAATAAAAATACACAAGAGATGATTTGGCTTCTTGTGAATTGCGCATTATAAAACTTAGGTTTTTTTTAATGATCAGGTTATAAAAATATGATTTTTGCTTGATAGGAACCTATAAATAAATGTTTGCTGTTGTTAGCTCACAAAAGATGGATATTTCATATAAATATTAATTATAACATGATTAAGAATGGACAAAATAACCATATTTTTATCATTTACAATAATACAATGATCAATTTTAGAAAGATAATTTTGAGATTTTGAGAAAAGTAACAAAAGTACATCCAAAATAAGTTTTAAACAAATTTTACAAAATTAAACATTTTTAAATTTCATTCACATATACCATTTATTTATCTTCTCACATAACTGATTTTGGTGCAATTATCATGAATAGTAAATGTCAAGATATTTCGGCTTATGATTACATGCAGAGATATGATCAATCAAACCACCATTAACAGATCAAACACAAACTTTAACCTGAAATTTCTCCAAAACCTATCATCAATTCCAAATTTACATCAAATTTTTCAGAAGAAAACTACATGAAAAGATTAATTCGACTACTCATAGTACTCTAGTATGAAACATGAATCACTAAACAACAACTGGGAAGATCATGTCATGATCTCATGATCAAATTATTCACTCCACGAATCCACCTCTTCTACCTATTTATCATGATCAACAAGAACAACAATCTGTTTCCTGAACATGTTAAAGATGATCATGTAGAAATGTAAACTATGCATTTCAACTACCCAATAAGACATCACGTACTCTTGAGCATCAATGGCGTTTAATCCAGTACGACCATTCTTTCTCGCGGGTCCCACAAGAGTCATAAACACAAAGTATAGCATAACAATTGCATAGAAGTTCCTTAATACATCCAACTTTTGAAAACTCTTATCCCTCATTCCACCAGTGTTCATCGACACAATCGAACTAGTAAGGGGGATTATTATAGCACCACAAGCAATCAAATCTATCAGCACTACGATATCGTTTAAAATCACCCAATCATTAATAGAATTGCGAACATTCCCAATCACTATCCTAATTACATTTGTTAAAACCTGAAGAACGATCGACAACAGTAAAACGTAATAATCCACTTTTTGCATAATCGGCTCCATGAAATGCAAACCAGAAGAGATTAATTGGATCACAATAGACAAAAGGACAACGCTGATGAGCTTAGAAATGTAGAACAAGAGACCTGATCGATAAGTACCTGTAACGTTCGCGGCTTCATAGATCAAGTTAAGTGCCTTCGTTAGAATCAAACCAGCCATTAACAGATGAATCCTGCGAAATTTTGCCGTGACCTCGAAGCAAACTAATGTCCAGTAGACCAGAAACCATAGATAAACGATGGAAAAAACAAAGTAAACAGATGCGAGCTGTGGGAGGCAATTCTCGAAGAAGATCGAGTACAGAGAGCACATTTTGTTGGAGGAGTGAACAGAAAGGGAGGGAGCTAGGTTATTGGACTGGATCGCCGGAGATTCCATCTCCGCCGTGGTGGATGCAGAGATGATGAAGAAAAGGATGAGAACGACAGTGAAACGTTTTGCTAAAACCCTCATTTGGTAGTGGGAAAAAAGAGAGAAAAATTGGATTTTTTTATCGAACGGATTCCTATATATAGTGTAGGAAGATTCCAGAAACTATGGAATTTGATGTGTTAAAATCATTCTTGTTAGAAAATTAGATATGACATGATTTTTGATAATGTATATGAAATATGATATAATTTGTATTGCTTTTGCAAATAGTATATTTATAGTAGAATTACCCGATCATATATTGCTTTACTTTTTATCTTTTATTAACGTTGATATCATTAAATAATAAAGTTTTTAATTGGAACGTTTGAGATAATATTAGAAAAAAAGATACAAATAAGAAGCTAGGCCGAAAATGAAGCATTATCAACATGAACTACATTCTAAAAAGAGATTTACACACCAATCTATCCACATAAACGATTACCCTTTTTTCTTCCGGCTAATAATCCAAAGAAAAAAGAAGATAACATCTTAATGTGGTTCACCATTGGGTTTGTGATTTAAGATTTTGATATTTCCGATGGTCAATATGTGTAACATCCACGTTTCAAAGATAGAGTTTTAGGATATTTTTGAAGGATATAAAAATTAAGGAAATATATTCAATTAATTACGTCAATGATGTTTTAGAATTTACACTAGAATTTTATCATTAGAACATGAATCTATTTTCACTTCACCATTGGGTTTGTGATTTGAGATTTTGAGCTTCGATAAGCTCATGAACCCTAGATTTATGTATTTGATGAATTTATCTTTTCAAATCCGAAATTTATGTCATTTATCTTGGAGATGTAATTTGGAAACTATTCCTAAGAGATGAAGTTCAAAATCACATGGCTAACTTGATTTATGAGTGCATTGTTGATTTTAAGCTCTCATATTAGCGTTAATGGGGTTTTAGCTTAATTTATGCTTGGAGTTGGTTTGAAACCTAATGAAACTTCAATTCTTATCATAAAAAGAGTCTAACTATCACAATTAGATTCATATATAATATTTTAGATTCATTTATGAAGTTTAGATCATGTATGGAAGTTAATACGAAGAATCCGAATGGTTATTTGAAAGTATGTTGTTATTTTGAGGTGTCATGTTCCATTTGAGGTTGTTATTTGAGGAAGTGAAATCCAACGCTTATGATATTCCACTAACTTTTTTAATCCTTATAGGTGATCATGTTTTTATGTTATTAAATAGTGTTTAAGTTTGTCAAAGACGTCCTGGAGGCATTAAGTCACGTAAATCATTAAGTGCTGAATAAGTTAAGATACAATTGAGTAAATTATAAATAAAGTTGGAACAGTTTTAGTCAAGTTGAAAGATCTTTGGACATTTTTGAGGTTTTTGCTAGAAATGGTTTCAGCGCACTTTGTACAACCTACAAATTTATTTGTGACAACTTTCTAAAGTTTGTTTGGCCATATAAATCAAATTTCCATTCCTTGTATATTGCTCGTAATAGATGGAATTTACTGATTAAGTTTGCAATACCTACAAATATCCACTACAAAAGTTTGCACTATCCTACAAAGTAACTTCACAAATCGTGCAATAATATAGTGACGATACTCTTTGAAATTTTGAAAATTTTAAATGAAGTCCAAATCATGGCTACTTTTCTTCTCTATTTTCCTATGATCATAAGGATAATATTAGGAGTATAATTTAAGATGTTTAATATTTGTAAATATAATCATGATAATTAATTATAATTCGTTAGTAATTAATTGAGTTATTGATAATTAGGTGATCATTAACAGCTCAATCTAATGATACATTAGGAGTGAAGTGGTGTGTTTATGCAATTGAGGTCACTTTCTACCCATAGATACATGTTCCTCTAAGATTTTATGCTTATTTGGAGAATTTTTTTTAGATAAATCGTTATAAATGGTCCTTATGGTTTTTCAGAATATCAGTTTTAGTCCCTAATTATTTTTGGTCTCATGAAAGATCATTGTGGTTTTAATTTCTAGCGTGATTGGTCCATCGCCCATATAAAAACACTTTTATACCCTCTTTTATTTAATATATATATATATATATATATATATATATATATATATATATATATATATATATATATATCCCATTTATTTCTCGCTCCCTTCTTTCTATCTCTACCAGCCAACTTCATCCTCCACTTTCCTTCCCCCAAAAATTTGTTGGAAACCACTGCACAACCACCACCCATAGTCGGATTTTCAAGAAACACCACCAATCGACCATGATCAAAACCCCACCCCTTAATTACCGTTCCTCTATTGTTAATCACTATGCGATGCCACCTCCACAGCCATCGAAAATCATATACCACAAGTTCTAACCATCGATATTTCCTAAAATCACCTCCACTGGACTCCCCTTAGTGTGTAGACGGAACCCCGAAGAATCACGATACTCACTTCGACGTCTATCCCAATATTGCCACCATCACCGCCTTTTTCCGCCACTTCTGGCTACCCATTTTTCAAAACCGACACCACCAATAGAACCACTAAGAGGTTCGCAAAAAACCATCGGTCAGAAACTCCTATATTATCTCGCCAAAATTCCATCATCATCGTCTGCCATTTTCATTCAGCAGAATATTTAGAAAACTGCTAGAAGCTTCATGACTCACTAGTTGACTCCATTTAGAAAAAATACAAAGACTCGAGAAGACGGGGTGAGGAAAAAGACGTTCGACGAAGAATATCTCACAATATGGTGGCGATGAAGTAATTCTCATGAGATGGGATAGGGAAGAAAAGGGTTATCGATTCCATTGTGTTGCAGTGTGGTCATAATAAAAAATGGGCATCAAAGAAGAGAAGGAGGAAAGTCGATTAGCGGTGGCGGCAAATATCGTCGGAGAGCACCAGGGGCCAGTCTAACCAACATGATTTTCCTAACTTGATGTATCGGATGATGAGAAGGGGGTTGGGTGTTATTGATTTCATATTTTTTTAAATAGTTTTTTTTAAGAAAAATATAAAATTTATTGCCAATAGACCAACCATGATAGAAATTAAAACCCCATGGACCTTCCATGAGACTGGAAAAAATTAAGGGTTAAAGTTGATATTATGGGAAACCGTATGGAAGATTTATGAAGATTTGTATTTGTTTTATTATAAAATTTTGAGTGTTTTGTGTTAAAGTTCTTGAAAAAGAGTTATATATATATATTATATATATATATATATATATATATATATAGATATATATATATATATATATATAATATATATTATATATTATATATATATATATATATATATCTATAGAGAGGCTTAAGTTATTTTATTTTTACTAACTATTGTGTGACAGAATGCACAGATCCGGACCACCGGATGGAATAAAATCAAAGGTCATGATCTGAGGGTCTATGATATTACAATAGGGTAACATGTGCAATATAATCACACAAATTTCAGCATAAGGACATTTTAGTCAATTAACCTATATTAAAAAAGGAAATTTTCAGATTTTTAGGCATAATTAATTCTTTTATTTTTAAAAATATGAATATTTTAAATTAATTCAAATTTAAAAATCCGATTTTATTCTGTCAGAATGATAGAATGCCAACCATAAACTAGTAAATATATTTTTGATTTTATTCTTGCAGAATATATTTCCAATGCATGTATTTTTGATAATTAACCTGATTTAAGAATTCTAGGTTATTATTCATATACATCCAAGTTGGGTCTATGATTGTATTCTTAATACACATCTGAAATAAAATATAAATTCATACGTATTCTTACAGACTAATATCCTTATACATTTTAATATATTTATACATATTCTAACAGAATATCATCAAAAATGAATACAATTCTTAAAAAATAGCATTCTTGAATATACAGTTATTGAATAAATACACTTGATCTTCTTTAGTAGTCCATATAATCCACTTGATCTTCACATATATACTTGTTGTTGAACTCGATTCCAAATATTTCTAATGTATGATGAATATTGAATTCCTTCTCCATGCAATTCTGAAAGAATAAGATACATTACTCATGAGTATTACCAGTTAAACAAATATATATGAATAAATTCTAACAAAATACATTACAGAGTGCACTTAAATCGTAGTCTTTTTTTTTCTATATGCATAAACATTCTAAAACATGTATAAATGTATTCTGTCAAAATTACTAGCAACACATGTTTTATGTAATATTTATATTCTCATAGTAAACTAAGGTCGTAGCAGTAAAAAATCTCCAATTCATGAATTATAATCAGTTAATTTGATGCCAAATTAGACGTTAATTTCGGTAAAAATCGTACCAGGAGAACAAGCCATACCAGAGAAAACAAGAATTTAAGCCAACAACTTCAGAAACACAAAAGAAACTATACAAGAAAACACTTCATTTATGCAAAACAAAGTTAGGGGTAGAAACATCAAAAAGATATAAAAAGATCAGCAAATGAACCTCCTACCACTGGGAACCATAACAAACAAAGAATAGAACGAATGGTTGTATATTTTAACAGAATTATGTTATTTCTAACCAAATGATCATTTAAATATTCTAATAGAATGAGTTTATGAGTATTCTACACACATATTGATGTTATTGTTTATGTTTTGTCACATACAAGCATGTATATACACATCAGATCTTGTCAAGTGAAATACAAGTAGCAGAATACATTCTGCTAGAATACACCTAGCATTTAATAAGATAAAGTACAACCAAACACACTAACACACTAAACACACTAATACACTAATCAAATTCACCTAAAATCAATCATATACAACATAAATAATGAGATAATGCACATCCAAACCCACCGATCAAACAAATTGTATATATTATATCAAGTTCTCTTTTAGACATTTTCATAAACACCTTATATGCAATAAGATAAAGTACAACCAAACACACTAGCATACTACTCGAATTCATCTAAATTAATCACATACAAAAACAATCATGAAATAAACAATTAGATTTACAGAAAGGGGAAAAGGGCAAAAAGGGAAAAGTGCTAATGCTTATAGA